TAACTGAAAAAACAGTAGGTAAATTACCATACCCGCTTCCATCTCCAGTGTTGCCAATGGTCACATTGGCAGACTTAGAGGTCTGCCCTGCAGGTGCCTTCATCCCCTTGCATTGTGGACACTTCCTGGCCAGATGGCCAGGTTGACCACACACAAAGCAAGTCCTCTTATCCTGATTAGGATTGTTGTTGTTGTTCTTCTTCTTGAAGTTGGTGGTCTGCTGAGCTTTGTATTTCCCCTTGCTCTTGTTCTGGGCCTTGTGCACAACATTGGCAGTGGACTGCCCACCATCGCCCTTAGACGCGACATCTTTTTCCCGAGCTTTCTCCTCAACATCAAGAGACGCTATCAACCCCTCAACGGAGTATTCCTGTCTCTTGTGTTTGAGTGCAGTACCGAAACCTCTCCAAGATGGAGGTAGTTTCGCAATAATGCACCCGGCCACAAATTTGTCGGGTAAGACACACTTAAGGAGTTCGAGTTCCTTAGCCATGGTTTGTATCTCATGAGCCTGTTCGACTACAGAACGGTTGTCAGCCATCTTGTAGTCATGAAACTGCTCCATGATATACAGATCATTGCTAGCATCAGTAGCACCGAATTTAGTATTCAGTGCATCCCACAACTCCTTAGCGTCGGTCATATGCATATACACCTCGACCAGACGATCGCCAAGCACGCTAGGAATGCATCCCACAAAGAGAGTAGTGGCCTCATCGAATTCTTTCTGCTGATCAGCATTAAGAACGCCCATAGGCTTGCCAGTACTCACCTAGAAGCATTTCATAGCTGTCAACCATAGAGTGACCCTGATCTGCCATCTCTTAAAGTGCACACCGGTAAATTTATCCGGCCTCAGTGCATTGGCAAAACCAGCCATAGTAAACTCACAGTGCCTATCATAAGGTTTTTGGATTGTTGAGAATATAGGCATATAATGATTTAATATATTCCATAAATAAATCATGACATTACAGATGTATACTAGCATTAACGCATCATTAGATCTACACATGTAAACTAATCAGTAAAACATGAACAGATCAAATATGCGTAACATGTCGAACACGTACCGAGGTGGCGGAAAGACCGGTTGCTCGGCAGGAATTACTCGCGGTTGCGAGCATCAACGAAGGCGCGCAGCACGCGAGCGGAGATGAAGGCAAGCCGTCGCGGACGAACAGGAAGGAAGCAGTCGTGCGAAGCGCTTCCCAAAAACCTTATTGCCGCCTTCTCCCGATGCAGGACGTCGAAGGCAGAGGTTCCGAAGACCTGCTCTCCCAATCGCCGGTGCACGCTGGCGAGTGGGATGGAGTAGTCTACGAGCGATGGCGCAACACAGAGGAGGAGGCAAACCCTAGATTGATTTCGTGTGTGTTGCGTGAAGGTGGCGGCACAGTTTATATAGAGATAGGTCGCTTGATCAGGGCGCCCGCACGATCTCCACTCTGCATAACCGAGCCGGATAAGTCGCGCGTAACTTATCCGGACTCCACGCCGTTTTCACGCACCGGATTTTTCGGAATGTTTCCAACAATAAAACAAATCCGAATTTTCCTGCAGCAAAACAAAACTGCAAAAAGGAGGCTGCATCTGCGCAAGGGTGAGGAGCCAACTTTGCGGACCATTCGACGCGTACGTCGTGCGCGCCGCCTGCCCTGCCCAGGCGAGGCGAGCGAGCGCGCGCGTGTGTTCCCCCTCTTCTCTCCACCACACATACTTCAAGTGGCTAGGAGGGCATCCTCCCTTTTCAGGAGGCCTCCCTCTTCTAGAATAAGCAAGGTGGTACTAAACTCCACATGCATGCCATCCCATGAGGTGGGCTTTTGTGATTTCCCAAAGAATTAATCTTCGAATGGGCCTTAGCCCATCTATTAATTCCAACACTGACACATAGCACCCCCTACACTTTTATTCTCACTTCGAGTAAAATGATTAACTTGGAAGTAGTATTGAGCCCATCCAACAGGTAGACCCACTTATACTTTCATTCGACAGACATGTTCACTTACACTTTCATCATCATTTCGTGTAAATGGTTAACCCAAAAGCGATATGGTTGGATGGACAACCCATCCTCCAGAACCGCAAACCAACCATCCGTATAGCACCTCATTTACACTTTCATTCTCGCTTCGTATAAAATGGTTAATCCGAAAATGGCATGATTTCCTTAAAAAAAGGAAGTGGTATGGTTGGAGGGCTTATAAGAGATTCTACTCTTGCTCATATAAATCAAGGGCACACAACGCTCATGGGTAACATAGGCCACATCCTAATTGAACCGAGATATCACTCATCACAAATTAGGCTGTGTTTGGAACCCTGGGTTCCCAACCCCTCCCAATCGTATTCCGCGCGCGTGCTTTTCAAACTGCTAAACGGTACTTTTTTTGCAAAAAAAAATCTATAGGAAAGTTGCTTAAAAAATCAAATTGCATGTTGGGAACAAATTATTCCGAACACAGCCTTAAAATAGATCTTATCATGAATTTGTCATATAATATAAGAAAATAGGGTTAATTACTTCTTTCATATAATCACATCTTATTTAATTAATTTTCATCCATCCTTATCTCCAACCACCTTCACTCGTTACATATTCCTCATTTAAGTATTTAACGAGAGATATTATAGTATATTTTTTCTTGTTTACCTAAACCTCTTCAAAAATCCTAGGACATTTTATATTTTGTGATACTTATTAATTTGATAAGTTATGTCAAATAAGGAGATTCTCACTCGTGACGAAAAGGAATTGGAAAATTTTGCTAGAGGGTATTGTGACTTCGCGTTTTTAGTTGTAGAACACCACACGAAGTGATTTTTAGGGGAAGACACTTTGGAAGCGTGGAAATTAGCTCATGGGAACCGCAACCATTAGAATATTAATTTTTGATTGAATAAGAGAGAAATCATGTGAAAATTATGAAATTACCACTGGGCCCACATGTTAGGTTTGCCATCTCTCTATCCCTATCTCTCTCTCGCACATGAACCCACATGCTGCCTGCTGTGGAAGGAGAGGAGCTCTTGCACGCCTAGTTCATTGCATCGCCAAGCACACAATAACAAGCCTACCTTCATCGGCAACTAGTTGGAATTGGTGAACCATTGGATCTGACTATCTGAGTAGGTGCAGCTCCACTTTGGTCCCGTTCTGCTCGTCTACCACCACCTGCGCCTCTGGCCGGTCACCGCCCCAAGCTCCTCCTTGCATGGCGCCTGTGGGTTGTGGTAAGAGTCGTCCTTCGCACGCGATCTTAGGTCTCCACCACTTGTGGCGTCCCTGCTTTCAAGACCCATTGTCGGGAGCTGGATCGTCACCCTCTGACTATCTTCATCACAGTCGCACACCCGGGGGGAATGGAGCCCATCCTCTCCATGACTCTGCTTACTCCCATGTCGGTGCATGGTTTGGGCCCCCCCTCCCTCGCTGCTTACATGCTGCAGCGTGAACCGTGTGGATGCGCCACACCCATAGGAGCGCGCCGATGCCGAGTGGACTATGACAGATGATGTCGAGTAGGAGCTCATCTCCTTCCACGATCCACCATTCCCAACCAGCATCTAGCTCGCCTCGCCGTCGCCGGTCACCGAGACACTCTCTCACCTTTGCCTCCTGCGAGAGTGAGAGGAATAGAGGAAGTAGATGGGGAAAAAGATAGTAGAGGCTTATATGCGGATTCCATGTACGAGAGAGAGAAGGATAGAGAGATGGCAAGCCTAGCATGTGGGCCCATGGGTAATTCAGAACTTTCACACGGTTTTTTCTCCTACTCAACCAAAAATTAATATTCTAATGGTGTAGTGTCCACGAGCTAATTTTTATGTCTATATGGTGTCTTCCCTCAAAATTAACTTTGTCTGATATCCTACAGGTAAAACCGTGAATTCATGATGTTGTCTAGCAAAATTTGCTAAATGAATTACTACCTTTTTGCTAAACCAATACTACTAGAAGATAATTCCCCTGTCAGGATAACCATCGGTCATTTATCATGTCATTCTAATCTTGTGGCTATTTTGCTATTGGTTCCTCGACATCGGCAGAAAATTATCTCACGTTAGTTTAATAATTTTGCTTGCAGAAGATATAACTTTTTTTGCCCCAGTACTATTTTTCGGCTTACGGATTATGAATTATATCACAGGCATATTATTTTACTTAAAAATCATAGGCATATTTTACTTTTTAAGCTCCTAAACAATAATTTCTCTAAAAAATTTCTCCATCAGCCCTCCGAAAGAACATTTTTATATAAAATTTTCAGCTTTCCAATATTTTATTTATTTATTTATTTATTTGCGCCCTTAAATAATTGTTATAGACTAGTTTCATCCCACACCCATCGTGGGTCGTGCATCAACACTTTAGGATGGCGGAGAATGGAAGGCATTTGCAGTGGTCATCAGCTAGTCAAGATGGTCATTTAATTCAAACAGGTACATCAATGCCATAAAATTTCTTTGTTTTGGCATATCTAGAACACATGGATTTCACAAGGCAAAATTAAAAAGATTAAGATAAAGGGAATCTTTTGAATTCAGGCAAAACAAGATTGAAATATAGTTAATCTTCTCAACTCAGGCCAAAAATTCTCAATTCACTGGTTTACCTGCTCATAGCAATCGTGGGGAAAGTAAGAAGGCATTGAGTATGTGAGTTCTGATGGATACCCGTTTGATGTGCTTCAGGATTCGTGCAGTCGTCACATGGGAGTGATGTATAGAAGCTCTGTTTAACACCAAACTTCATCTGAGAAAATTATTACTTCCTCCTTTTCACAATGTAAGTCATTCTAGCATTACCCACATTCATATAGATGTTAATGAATCCAGGCACACATATATATCTAGATTCATTAACATCAATATGAATATGAAAAATGCTAAAATGACATTGTGAAATGGAGGTAGTACAACCAATAAGTGAAAATGTTACTTTCAAAACAATTATTTTAGACAGGAGAGACTAGCCAGACAGAAATACAGAACAATTTGGGTAATAATCAATGAGAGAAGCAGCTTATTAAATGGTTTGCCTGGTGTGGAAATAGCCAACAATAGTCATCTTACAACAGACACCATTATTTATCTATAGACACATATGGACATCAGACTAGTGTAATACTACAAGAATTTCATAGAAGACTACATCAACATATGTACATTTTATAGCCGAGAAGTAATGTTTACGCTTCGCAGCAAATTTATCTGCATACAACAACACGGTAGCAGTTTGGAGCCTTGGGAGTTCATTCCACGTGTCATTGTGAGCTCAATGAATCAATAACATTAGTAAGTTGATACAAGAAGTTGATAGTGGGAAGGGAACTCAGCTTCCCAGTTTGAAGGCATCCACAAAAAGGCCCAGACATACGCCGGCTTTCCAGTAGTTCACCATTGCAATCAATGACTGGAATCGTCCAGGAGGTCTACTCATCGGTTTTCTGTACATAAGCATGCCAATTCCCTCTATGGCAGCCACTACAACACCAGCCACAAGAACATCCCAGTCACCAGTCTGCCCTAGGATTGTTGCCAATGCGTTGGCGGTATAGAAGCCAAACAGCACAAGGAATATCTTCGTGGGGGAGTTGCTTCTGGCAGAGTTCAGCTTTTCAAGTAGTTCCCTCCCAGCAGCTTGGATGAGCCTTCCCAGCCTTGTTCTACCAAGAAAGCCACCATCATCTTCGAAGTCTTGGCTATCAGCATTAGATGGTCCACCTGTTTCCAAGGCAAATACTGGCTTCCATCTAGAATTTTTCATCTGGTAACTATAGAGTGCAGATATCAAGTCAACTACCAAATCTTCTGCATAGTAGAGATCTGAAGAAATTGATTGCATCAATCTTTTATCTTTTCTCAATCTCTACAAACCTTCAGTCATGAAGCTAACTAGTAAATAATTCCACAAAGGATGGACACATCAGCAATTCATCTACTCCCATCCCCAAAAGAATATAAAATTGGTAACCTGACTAGTCAAATCTTCCTAAGTTTGACCGCCACTACATAGAAAACCTATTTATATTTATCATGTGAAAAAAGTATAACTAAACTGGCTCAAGAAATATTTTGGCACCGCAATACATTTACAGTTATTTTGCCAACACATATGACATTACTATACAAATTGATGGTCCAATTTATGCACTTGATACCATATCATGTCCGAAGTGTCGTATATTTTTTTAACAGATGGATTACTTTTATTGTTTCTATTTTTTTATTGAAAATAGTTTATGCATATAATAGGTAGATACCATATAAATTGAAAAATGGGTACTATCAGTAACAAGATTGACTGTCCACAAGTTCTTATTATATAATGATTACCTGCCAAATTCTTGTATTTTGTATGCCTTGCGGCATAATAACATTTCTGTTTGAAGATGCTAAACGAGATCTAGGTAGGCTACATTTTGCATCCATGTCACCTTGGAGAGCACAACTTGAACCCATGCATTTCCTAACAACGTGCGGTGAAACCTAATTACACTTCATTGTCTATTCCATTCTTTTGTTTGGGTGAGCCCTTATTGAATTCCTTTTAAACAGTCAATAATCCAACCTATGTCAACTGAAATGTATTTCTTCAAGTGTCCAGCTTATATCAACAAATATATGATTCTTCAATATAATCTGACTGATAGTCAGCAAAGATGCATTGTATAAATGATTGAACTCATCATAAACATAAAAAGATGTACTGAAAGCTAGATCTACTTATCAATGGTGCCACCGAGTAGAAATGTGTATGCAAATTAATTGTAGTAGGGGGAAATGCTGTTCATAGATTTAAAACTTTCGTAAACCAGCTCCTCCAAAATTCCTGTTGACAGAAAACTGACCCAAAGTTCTGGACGAGTCCAATGGAACCCAATTCCCAATTGATTTTTGGGATTTTTTTTTTTACAGAAATACTAGGTAGAGAAATTCAATACGCTGGAGAAGAGAAGAGAAGACAGCGAGCAGCGGCGTCGGGGGCTAACCTGAGCGCCGCTCCGCCCGTCGTCGCCGGCCACGAGAGGCTGCAGGTCCGGCGGAGGAGCGCGCGGCCGCAGAGACCGCCGGGTGCCGGCCGAAGAGGGGCGCGGGGAGGGAGGGCTCCGCGCCGCAGCGGCATGACCGGCGGGCAGCGGCGCCACGGGGCCTCTGTCAGTCTCAAGGCGGAGCTACCGCGACGGCGACGGCGGCGGCGGCGGCGGCGGGGTGAGGCGATGCGATGCGAAGTAGCCTGTGGTTGACAGTTTCGATGGTCTAGAATCGCGCCTTCTGTTCCGTACGTGGATAGTTGGGCCGAGAACTTGTTGGGCTGGAGCCCAACTCTCCAGTTGCAAAACGTACCTGTGGGTCAGTGGCGAGTGGCTTCTCTCCGTCGCTACCCCGGGGACGTCGCGGCGGTCAAGCGCCGCGAGGCGGGCCTCGCGGGCGGCGTCGGAGGCGGTGAGGATGCGGCTCGGGTGGGCGAGCGGCGGGACCGCCAGCCCGGCGGCGTCCCTCAGCGCGACGCAGTGGTGCGCCGAGCTGTGCGTGTAGTCGGACGGCCGGATCGGCGCCGACGACGACGGACGAGCACTCGCCACCGCCGCCGCTTTCTTCTTCCCGTCGCCGCCGCCATCATCCTCGTACGCGTCAAGCCGCACCGGCCAACTCCAAATCGACGCTCAAGCTCAAGCTCCGCCGGCCAGGGCGGAGAGGGAGAGGGCCCCGCTGGCGGCGCGACCGGCGGGGGAGGAGGAGGAGGAGGGGAGGGGAGGCGCGCGGGCGGGTGGCGGCGGCTGAGGAGGAGGCGCCAGCTCGGAGCGGGAGGCGGCGGCGGCGGCGGTGGCTTGGAGCGGGAGGCGGCGGCGTTGTCGAGAACGGGAGCGAGAGACGCGTTCGGTCGCGAGCGAGACCGCGTCAAAGGGCAGAGAAGATGACGATTTTGAGGGAGAATAAGTTCACCGGAGATTTTTTAAAGTATCTTAACCAAAAAAACCAAATATTTACTCCTAAACTCTCACAAACCGTTCACTGGAGGTCCCTCGGTACTATTTTTGTCCGGTTTTTCTGACGTGGCATTCTAGTTAGCAAAAAAATAAGAATAAATATGTGGGGACCACATGTAAGTGACATAAAAATGTTAGGTCAACAATCCTAGTCAGCACTGATATTCTAAATCGCTTTTTTCTTTGGCGCACAGGGGGAGCAACAGCGACACGCATCCGAAGGCAGGCGGAGCAGGGACGCGGCGGTTCGGCGGGCGAGGTGGCGGTTCGCGAGTGCGACTGTGATGAGCACGGCAGCGAAGCGGCGGTGGAGCGGTGGTAGCGGGCGAGCAGCGGCTTCGGGCTCGGGAGGAACAGGCGGAGGGGCGGCAGCGGTGGCGCGGCAGCAGCTGGTGCCGGCCGGAGAGGGCGGAGATGAGGCCGGCGGGAGAGGGGGTGGAGCGCCGCATCGGCGGTGGTGGTTGAGAGGACGGGCGCCTCCTCCACCGCTGCCTCCCTCGCGGGAACCGTCCAGCGCTTGCCCTCGGCGCGCCAGAGCACGTGGATTCCACGGCAGCGGGCGCCGCGGCAGGGATCGCCACCGCTATGGCGGCGCATGTGGTGTGAACACCCGTCGACGTCATCAGCCAGAGCCTCATGGTGCAGGGGAACCCGTGCCCGGCCTCCCACTACCGCGGCGGCCTCGACGTCTTCCGCAAGATCGTGGCCGCCGACGGCCTGTACCGCGGCTTCGGCATGTCCATCCTAACCTACGCCCCCTCCAATGTCGTGTGGTAGGCGACATACTCATTGTCGTAGAAGACGATTTGGAGGAGGCGCCTATCCCCTCAGCCCCTCCTCCTCCATCGCTGCTCCCCCCTCTTCCGCCGGCGTGACACGTGGAGAGGATGGGAGAGGGAGAGGTGGTCGACGGGAGATGACTAGATGGGGGAGGGGAAAGGTGGCCGGCTGCTGCCGTGCTCGTCCTCCGCCGCTCTGCCCACCACTCGTAGACCGTTGCCGCGCTCGCTCGCCGCCAGCCTCCCACATTCACGCTCGCCATCGTCACTCCGCCCTCCGCCGGAGAGAAGAGAGTAAAGAGAAGAGAAGGTGAAGAAAAGAGAAGAAAAAAAGATGTGCAGCTGACATGTGGGTCCCACTTTTTTAATTTTATTTTCTAACTAAGATGCCACGTCAGCAAAATCGGACAAAAATACTGCCGAGGGACCTCCGGTGAATGGTTTTGAGAGTTTAGGGGGTCCATATTTCTGGTTTTGTGATTAAGGGACCTCAAAAAATCTCGTTGTTAAGTGGAGGGACCTCCGGTGAACTTATTCCATTTTGAGGGCATGCACGTAATTTCACGTTGGCTGGAGAGCTCGGCTCCGTGGGCTTCGGTGACGCCCACTGTGGGCTGTCTGAGTAGCCAAATGTGTAATCTGGTTTGAGGCCACATTGGATTGTGTAGCTTGTGGCTTTTGAAGTTCTTTAATCTATTTGGAGTAAATTGAACCCACAGTACAACAACTTGGTAGGTGGATGCGATATAGAACAAGAACTTAAGATTTGAACGTTCGAGTACAGTAACTTGACAATTGGGTGCGATCTAGTATATAAGAACCTGATAGTTCGATATTTTGGTGCATCAACTTGGCTAAGCATATGCTAGATGAGTTGTTTCACGATGTCAATATGCTATTAGACAGTAATCCTACAGATATTACCTTAAATATTGAATTTAATCTTTAAGAATTATATTACATATATAGTTTACATCCAATTATCTTTAAGATTTTTTTTTGTTTTCTTCATCTTCTCAAATATTAACTGAAATATAATAATTTTTACATCCAGTTTAATTGACTTTCAGTTATGGGTTATTAGGATAAAAATATAAATATGCTTATACAAATCCATGCTAGTATATTGTCAAAATAATTACTTAAAAATGAATCTATATAAAAAATTTCTCCAAATAATTAAGTTGTCGCATAATTTCTTAGTTTACTGTATCAAAATCGTACCTATCTTAAAAGTTTTTACATTTATATAATCATTTATAAAGTTCTTATACTAAATTGCACCTACCTATTAAGTTGTTATACTAGAACTCTCATTTCTCAAGTAGTTCTTATACCAAATTACACCCACCTACCAAGTTGATGCACCGTGGATGCAATTTACTCATCTATTTGGCACCCTAGTCTGAACAGATATAGTGGCGCATTGGTGTGGTAGGTGGAGAGTGGTGTGTTTCTATTTCTTTAATGCCCTTGCAAATTCCCTAATGGTCCCAACAAGTCACCGAAATTCAACGCGCGCGAAATGCCAAAAAATATTGGTGCTCTGTCTCATTTCTTCGCACACCATTACAATTTTATTTTACAGAACCTTTCCTATGACCCCAAATTTTTACACTAACGGGTACGTTCACGTCAGGAAAACTCATATTACTGACGGTATCTCATCCACGTCAAGGAAAATTCCAATTGTTCCGACGGTTTTAAAGGATCGTCACACAAATTATTTTTTCTCTGACAGGGTTTTGGACTATTTGCCACTCTCCCGAATGGCGTGTTCTCAAATGCCACTCTCCCGGATGACTTCGCTATTTTGCCACCGGAGATAGAAGATTTCTTGCCTGTGTGCCATTTTTGAGCCTGCAAGGCACCACGTCACTCGATATGAGGACAAAATAATTGTCTTACCCTTTTTCTTCATTTCTCCTCCTGTCATTGGGCTCCGGTGAGCTCCCCGCCTCGCACTCCTCCCTCCTTCGCTCTGCTCCTTACCTTCCCGGCCCCTACTCCATTCCACTGCGGCCAACACCGGCCCCTGTCTTTTCTTTTGTGGCCTCATCGGTGCCTCACCCCATCACCGTCGACTTCGCATTCCTCCTCACAGCTCTTCTACACTCTCCCCCGATGTCGGCGGCTGCGCCAGGTCCACCCTCAGGGCTTCCCCTACCTTGTCATTCTCCACCCAGCGCCAGGAGGTCGGTTCGGCGGTGGTGGTGGCGGTGTCACCGGCTCACATACAGGGAGGAAGGTTGGAGAAGAGAGACCCGAGCTAGAGGAAGAAGAAGGGCAAGACAGTTATTTTGCCTTTGGATCGGGTGACGTGGCGCTTTGTAGGCTCAAAAATGGCACACGAGCAAGAAATCTTCTCTCTCCGATGGCAAAATAGCGAGGACATCCGGGAGAGTAGCATTTAAGAACACGCCATCTGGGAGAATGGCAAATAGTCTAAAACCCCTTCTCTGACTGGTGGTTGCATGCATGTCACTGAGTCAGTAAAATTAGCGACCGTCAGGGGTATTCTAATTTCTGATAGTGTAATAGAATTAAACATTCTGTGAGTGTATGATTTAAAAAATAATAATTTAGGAGAGAAGAGATGTTAATTAATTGTCATGCATGTATTTATGTTTTATATTATGAAACACCTTTAAAAAGCATGTGTCCTATATTTTGGAATGGAGGAGTACTACTACATGCAAGCGAAGATCCTACAATTCAAGCAAAGCAGTCCACTAAATCGCCGCTCGCTGTAATTGCGTAACTAATGATGCCGTCAAACAATACATGTACGCACTTGATTCTACAAGAACTCAGAAGAAGGCTGCACTACTTGCAGTTTGCAGCCATCTCCCGGCTAGAGCGGGCCTGGAAGACGACGGTGGGCTCGCCGAGGTCGTCGTCCTGAAGCTCCCCATCCACGTGTCATCGTCGTCGATCGTCGCCGTCTGTGGCGTACGTCGAGCAGGTTCAGGGGTTTCCTCCGTGGCGGCGTCGATCAAGTATAACATGGGACACTTTCTCGTCAGCCCGAGCTTCTGAATGGGTCTTGGATTATTATTTAAAACCACCATGTGTGACACCTCATTTGTGCTTTTTTTTAAAAAAAAAAGAAAAAAGAAAACAGCATCGATGATATAATTAAGTACAGACTTTACAAATAAGTGCACAAATAAAGCGAAAGGGCATATAGTATAGTGGTTGCAGTTATCTGAGTAGCACCCCAACGTTCTAAGTTCAAATCATTATATGAGTGAATTGTCTCAATTTAAAATGGGAAAAAGTACGAATTACCCCCTGAACTATTGTGGTTGATTGAATTACCCCCTAAATTCGAATACCAAATATTTCTCACCCTAAACTTTTAAAACTGGACGAATTACCTCCCTACTCCAAACCATAACGGTTTTGGTCCTACGTGGCATCCATGTGGCGCTAACGTGGCAATCTAATTAGAAAAAAATTAAAAATAACATAGGCCCCACATGTCATATGGAGTAGTGCACTAGTGCTAAATTGCTAATCTCTCTCTCTCTTTCTTCCCTCTAGGGTCGCGGGTGCGACGTGATGGGGCGAAACCAGACGCTGTGGTGGGGACGACGGGGATGGCAGGAGCCGAGGAGGAGCTGTGCTCGCCGGCGGAGACCAAGGAGGAGCTGCGTGCCGGCGGATGCGGATGAGGAACAACGCGTGCCGGCGGAATCGAGGAGGACTCGTCGCGGTAGACCACTCCCACTTCTTCCAATGCCTTCCTCGGCGCCGCTCGTTGCCCGCCGCGCAATCCTGGTGATGCCACAGCCCACCACTATCCTCGCTGCCTGTGATATCAGAGAGATGAGAGAGAGAGAGAGAGATGTTGTAGCCCTCCCCGCGACGCACCACCCGCCGCCTCCAGCGTCCTCCTCGGCACCACCCACCGCCCACCGCCTCCACTATCCTCCTCGACGCGGCCTACCGGCCACTGCTCCTTCCCCGTTACGCGACAAGCTTCAGCGGCGGCGTAGTAGGATTTTGCGCGAAGGCGGCAACGAGCCCGCCTCGGTCTCGAGCTCCCTTTGCGACAGCGGGACGTGGAGCGAGGCGGCGGCGGCGGCGGGATCCTCCTTCCCTCGGTCGCCCGAGCGACCTCCGCCTCCGCCGCTAGCAACTGCCCCCGCCCTCGCC